TTGCCTACGGAAACAGCTTCCTTGTATAATCACAAGGGTAAGGTCTGCGTACAACTAACCCTCCGACCCCAACCTGTTGGGAATATACTGGGTATGTTGTTGTTGTTGTTGTTATTTGCCTTCAGGCACAAGTGGTGGGGTTAGGAATTTTGTGTTTTCCACCACGAGAGGTCGTATGCCATAGCTCGTTTGTATGTTTTTTTATCAATAAAATATATCTATGATATTAAAAAGAACAGATTTTCCAAGTCCTATTATTTCTTCTCCAACTTTGCTACAATATAAAAACATGTAATTCTCAATTACTGGTAAGTTGTAAACAAATCAAATATTTTCTATTTGATTCGTGATATGAATTCAACATTCGTGATTCGTATTCATGAAAATTTGAATTCGAATTTAAATAAAAAATAGTGTTTAGTATTTAAAATTTATTCGAATACGAATCCGAATATGTACATATTCAATTCAAAATTATATTCGTTAATAAGCTTAAATCAGCACTCGCCAGATATAAAATGTCATCCCGGAGTATAATATCCTATTTATAAGAGTGGGTTACCTGTTGCCCCTTGTTGCTCGAGTTAACCCTAAGATTCCTTCTTATCCTTTGGTTTTCTTTGTTAAACTGTCTACTCGTAAGAGCAACCCCCACGTCACCAGGCCCCTCAGCTCATATGCCACCTCAGAGGTCGATTGTTGTGTACAAATTGTTATATTTTTACCGAGTATCGAATCAAGGATTCGTTTCTCGGGTCGATCTCTCGAGGAAGGCGGTTCGGAATCTAGCTTTGGTGTCGATTACACACGAAAAGAAAATAAATCCTAAACACTCTAATCAGATAAGGGGGTTTGAATAATTATCAGCTAAGAAATAATAAAGGCAATAATCTACCTAAAATATAGACTAACAAAGATGAAGAAGCTAGGGAGTCGGGGATAATTAATTCAAGTTCTATTTGCACACCGGGACATTAATCATTCTATTCTAGATTGACGCTCTCGCTTAAGCATCTAGTGGTTCGCTCCCAATAACTCTTCGTAACAAGGGATTGAACATAGACGAACAAACTTGAGCATACGGCGCATGCCAATTAGCCCAATCCCAATAACTATTCGTAACAAGGGACGAGTCATCGACAAGCACGTATTTCAATCCAAAACCTATAGACTATTCAATTACGAAATCATCTACCTCATGCGAGCCTAAGTCTACGACTTCTCCCCTTTCGGTTCTAAAAGTCGCTAATTAAATTAGAAAAGAGTTAATCGACTACTCGTATAGAATCAACAAAACCCTAACTCGACTAATCAACATTCAATTGTTTCCAATTGCAAGATCGAAGTGTCACTCTTCGATTATATCAATCAATTAAACAAGATTTCATCAATTCGTAACCAAATCAACCGCACAAGAACGAAAAATTCAAGCCCAACAAATACACGTTAAACAAGAACAATTATCCTCTATACAATTCTGGGACTTGCAGGGGGCCTTAGCGCCGCTAAGGTGCCTTAGCCGTTCGAGCCAGTACCGTGTAGCGCCGCTATCCTGTGTGCCTTAGCGCCGCTAAGGCACCTTAGCGGCACTAAGGCTCTGGCAGCCTGCTGGACTTTGCTTCTCGGGTCCGTTTGGGCTCGTCCGAACTCGGAATTGAGTTCTGTTTTTTCCTACGCGTCGCTAACGAAGCCTTATACGTAATTATGCTTTTAAATCCAACTTATTCTTGAAAACCTATTCTCCCAAAGCTTTTGAATTGAAGGTGATGGCTTCCGCATGCGATTTCACATATAGGGCCCGTCCGGACTCGTCCGAACTCGAAATCGAATTCCGCCTTTTCCTACTTGTAGCCAACGATTCCATCTATCTAACCATGATTTCCTGGCCTGTTTCCGAGCTAAATTTATTCCTCACGGGCTTCTGAGCTGCACACCAAAAACAATAAGAAAAACGGGAAAAACATACGAAAAACACAAAAAGAACCAAAATAAAGGAAAACATGCGATAATCAACAAAATGAACTACAAACCAACAAAAATACCTAAAATGGGGGAAAAAGAAAAGAAAAATAACAAGGAAAAACGCAAGAGTAGGTTTGGTTGCTAAAAGACCCTATCGACCTCTTTCGTTCAATCCTATCGACCTCTTGCTAAAAGACCTATCGACCTGACGCCATACTCAGGTCGACTTTCAGCCTCAGCTCGATCAGCCAACTCGTCCGGTTTGGTTGCTTGGTTTTCCGGTCTAGGCGACCCGGTATGGGATTCCATATCATCGAGTCACCCCCACTCTGGTCGAGCTAGAATAGCTCGATCCAAGAGTAGGTTTGGATATCCTCAGCTCTTCACTGTTGACCTCCATTTGTCGCAGCTCGATCTGTCTACTTGTCCTATCTTATTTTTAGTGTGTTTCTCTGTAGGGTTTTTGGCTTTGGCGTTGGACTTCTTTGTCTTTGGTTTCAGTTGCTACAGTGGTAAATCTGCTAGGTTCGGTTGTTCAATGGCAGGTTTATCTTTTGCTTCGTGCTAGCGGTTGTTACTGGTGCGGCTACAACAAGAGTCTTTTTTTGGTTGTTATAACTTCAGTTTATGCTGGTTCCCGACTGCTTGCTGCATTGTTTATTTTTATTTTTCTAGGTCACTAGCGTTAGCTCTCCTCTTTTAATACCTTCTGGTAGCTCGAGTTGCAAATAAATTCCCAATATTACATCATATATTTTAACAGTAAAGATATTTTAGGTCGATCTAATTATTAGGCATATGTATTTTTTAACAAATATATACATAATTTTTTACACAAATATCATTCTTTAAATATTGCGTGAATAAAAGTATGTCATCTCACATATTGTTGATATGCAGAAGTAATGCTAAGGAGCCATCCGATGGCTCCGTTATGGAGCCATCCTGTTTGTAAAACGTATTATCTCGGAATACGTTTTACAAACAGGATGGCTCTTAGCATTACTATGATATGCAGTACGTTAAAAAATATTATCTATTCAATATTTAGAATATATATTTTTTCTTATATACTATTTTATAAATGAAAAATAAGTTAATAAAAAAACTAATATATAATAATTTAAATTATAGCAATTGGTAATTATAGAAATATGTAATATATCTAAATATTCGAATAGATACTATGTAACTCATTATATAGGTTGAAAAAATGAATTAAAGAAATAAATATAAATAAAAAATAAAAACATAAAAATAAAATATTTAACCGTAATGTGTGTTCCATAAGGATTAAAGTTACTAAAAATTAAAAGTTATTTATCAAAGTTTTTAAAATTTAATGCACTTAATAATTATAGTGGAAGATAAATATTATGGATTAAACGTTGGTCAACTATCAAGTAATGTACAATTTATGAATTGTGGAAAAAAATATAAGACTATGATAAATGACAATTTTATAAGTACATACAAGTAATTTATATGCAAATATCATATGATCTTATACATTTATAATATTTTATAGACTTATAGATAATAAAATTTATATATTAAATAGTCAAAAACTACAAAAAAAATATATATAAAAATTAAAATTAACAATAATAGTAAATAAATAAATGTCATACTATTACTGACTAGAATATTGTTGAGAATAGAATTTTATATTCTCTTACATAATTTTATAATATTTAAATAAAAGATATTTTTTGTATTGCACCCCGTGCATTGCATTGGTATCAACGCTAGTTAGTAGATATGCCTAACGGTTTGGATATCTATAAATAAATGTTTTAAAAAAACTGCACTTGTAGTAAATAATTTTAGCAAAAGATAATCTTCTTATTTTTCTCTTTTTATTTTCCTAGTTTTTTAATTTTAGAATCTATCTTTTAAAAACTTGAAAATTTACTTGAGCAACAGATCTCCATGAAACTTGAGGCATATGAACAATAAAACAATTTTCATTAAAATCACATTACTTTAGATTTAGTTTGCAGTTATCCTTTGATTAAATTGAGAATAAATTAAGAACTAAATTTATTGCAGCCAAACATGCATAACCCCATTATTCAAGGCAGCTGCAACAGCCCCTAATGGAGGATTCCAAACCAACATAAAAACATAATATCAGTTTATTTGTTTTTCTTATATGCATCATCGACAACGACACAGTATAAATGTCAAAGCGTACTAAACCAAACATGATTCATCCGAATCACATCCTAACGTCAACATTGCAAGACCTGAAACTCTTCATACGATGTAAGTTCTCTTCTTCTAACATCAACAGAATTTCTACTCAACAGGCACACATCTGTTAAAACAGCTGCTTCTTCAATGACTATCAATGTTGGAGTCAGCGCATAAAGTCAGATAAAAAAGCTCAATAAAATCATACGAGATTTTTGTTTCTTTTTGGCCCTTAATTTCTGAACACTCCTAGCTAGATGCTGGTGTCAAAGTTATTCTCCAGCCCCTATCACCACTCTCTGCCCAGCTCGAACACAACGAACCTGAACTTGTGGTCTGCACAACCCCCATAAATGTCGATTAATCCAAAAAAACCTGCATTGATTCATATTCAAGCATAAGTCAAAATGTATATTAGGATGTGAAACAAAACAAGGAAGATGGCTGAACTAGGTGTTTCTTTTGTTTTTGTACTATCTTCACTGTTCTTTTCTGCTCAGTTGAACTACAGATACAAGCTTCTTCAACTTTTACTCATAACACTAGTAAAACCCCACATCTTTTTTCTTTATTATAGGCAGCAGCATTATTGACAGATCTACGAGTAAAAGCAGCTCAAGACAACAAATTCTACTGCCAAGATTTATTTGCAAAAATCCACAACAAATATTGTCACTGATGTGCTCCTGCACTTGAACCGGTTTCCCTTCAATCCTCGACCGCTTCAAGACCTGCAAAGACGCCGGGAGGTGTTCCCAGCGGTAAACCTCCAATGCTCAAGTCA